GGACACTTAAAAGCTTTTAAAAGCAGGAAAGGAGAGAAAAAGAATAAAAGGGCAGGATCTGGAAAAATGGAGGAGACTGCCTGGAACTAAAACCTCAACCATATTCCTAAAAGATACATTTTAACTGAAACTTGGCAACAAAATAGTAGAACCCCAGGAAGAGAAAGTGGAAAAAAGAAGTAAGAAGAAATAGCTTGGAATTATTTGGATTATTTGGTGATCTCTGGATTTTTGGTTATTTGCATTTAAATGACTAAAATCAATCGGGTGGTTGTTTAAAAGTGTTTAAAATGGCACCACTTTTAGAAGAATTGAAAATGGAACTTAAAAAGTACAAAGAAGATGCACAAGAAGGGAGAGGTTCTTTTGGCTTCGTATTTCAACTCTTAGAAATGGAGAGCTGGAACTATGACAAATAACAAGAAACATTTGCAGAACAAGAAGATTGGGACAAAGAAGAAGCCATCTTTAATGATCAAGTAACTTTATGTGGGGGAAAAAAGAAAAGGGGGAAAAGAGAATGAAAAGTTTAAGATTTGAAATAACAACCCCAAAAAAGAAGAATAGTTTAAAAAATAAGTATAATATTAGAAAGCAACAGAAGAGGGGATTACAGAAGAGAGAATTAGAAGTAGAGAGACAAAGGGGTAAAAAGGGGAGGGAGAAGAAGAGAGGGAAGAAGGAAAGGAAAAGAAGTTATAAAGGACAGAAACAAGATATAGAGAAACAGGGCAAAGGTATAAGAATTCAAAGTATAAGCCTGTTTAGAGATAATGGGTGAAAACTTAATTGTAATAGGGATTCTGCAAAGGTACATAAGATAGTATTGTTATATTACAAATAGAAATACTTTTTGAAAATATGCTTAAAACAATGGATAAAATATTTATTGTAATCTAGTGGAATGTTTGTTAATAAACAAATGAAATAAAGTGAATGAGAGAATTAAATTAGAAAAGGATGGGAATATTTTAATTATTATTAATGATTTATAAAATATAAGTAAAGAGAAATATGGAAAAAAATTAATTATGAAAAGTTTATGTGTTCCCAAGGAAGTATGATATTTAATTGAAAAGAAAGGTTAAAGATGTTAAGATTTTAATAAATATTAATGATAGAATTGAATTGGAATGGAATGAGTGTTATATATATATATATATATGGATCTTTGGTTATTCGGGTTTTCTCCCGCGTAAGATTGGAAGTATCTAGGCAACGTTTCGATGAAGTCTCATTCATCATCTTCAGGCTTCTGTCTTCAGCTCTGTGCTTCTCACTTTTGATTGGAAGTTATGTATTATATTGAATGTTATAATCTTAAAGGTATACATTGAAGCTGAAATAAGAGTTGAATGGATAAAATTAAAAGATATAAAGGTGTCATACTCCAGTTAGTAACGACAGCGGAAAATTTGTTTAATGAGAAAAGATAATATGAAATTGAAACAGGACAGACAAAAGTATAAATATAATGATTTGAACTGAGATGAGATAATCAAAATAAAGTTGAGAAAATTAAAAGAGGGGAAAAACTATGTAGAAAATGTAAAACAGTAATAAGATATGGAATAGAACACAAAAATGAGCATGAAATTGAGTTTGTGTCTATATGAGGAAGTGTAACCGGGACCATGCTATTTTCAAAAAGAGATGTTTTATTTGTATTATGTTCTTTTTGTGAAAACCCAAATAAAATTTTCAAAAATAAATAAATAAAATAAAACAAACCATATGATTGCGACAGTGAGAATACATATAAAATATTGAAATATACTGTGAAATGCATGGGATATGCAATCCCAAAATGCTGCTATCTATATGATAGTGAAATACAAACTTATTTCTAATCAAGTTGGCCCAATATCAAATTTAATGGAATAAATTCTCCGGGACTGAAAAAAGTGCTTTTCATTCAAATGTTATTTCTTTATTGGCTGATGAAGTATATCTCCATTGCACATTTCTTTATTAGACATGCTTAGAACAGAATATACAGCTGGAAATAGCTGTGACAATGTATTTTAGCTGGGTAGATATGAAAGATCAGATGTTCTGAATTTTTTTTTTGTTTTTTGTTTTTGTTAAGTGGTATTAAGAGATTGAAGCCGGGATAAGTCTCCTACTTTCAAAGCCCTTGTGAGGTCAGAGCAGGTCTCCATACAACAATTATTTTCCACAGCAACAATTATTTTAATTTCCTACACTAGCGTCATGTTAGCTCAGATTCACTTTGAATTCTTCATGGGGTGAAGCAATTGCAATTAAGAATAGTGTTGCCTAGAACTGCAGGATGAGAGAGGGAGAGAGAGGCGGGGGGAGGAGGGAGAGAGAATACAACATGTAGAAATAGGTTTTTTGGGACATAAAAGGGAGTGATTGCTGATTCCATTTATGTAACACACTGGTCTTTCTTATTAGAAAGATTTTGCTGAAAAGTTGACAATGATGTACAGTAGTGACTCACTGGAATGACGTTTAGGGAAAATGATTCTGCTGCACCACCACACAAAACCAATTAGAGAACTATTTTCCACGACAGGTCAGGAATTTCCATTGTTTCTTGTGGAGAATAATTTCTTTATTAAGGTGACATCCATGTCCATTATTGCTTTTTGGAATGACAATCATTTGCTTATCATACAGGAAAGTACAATCAGTGAAATCACGTCACCAATCTGAGGCAATGCCAGAAACTCCAAGCATCAGCCTGTGTTTTCCAAATGAACTAATCTGAGAATTAATAAGGAGAACATTATATATTGGCACTATTTTTGACAAGACTTTATAGTGGCACATCAAGAGGAAAAGGTAAAGCTAGTGCAGAGATGCTCTAGATAGTTTGGCATTTCTGAATCCCTCTATTTTGCCAGTTCTGAAAGGCTCCCTGAAATATTAGTACCTGAAGTAATGAGGGTTTGCAATTCTTATGGTATCTCCATGACTGTTAGGAATATGAGTCACCTAACAGCTATTTGGGTTAGAAATATATAAACCAGGATAAACATTTTAAAACTGTATCTTTAAGAAAATGCAAAACTGTAATTAGGTGTGGTTTCTCAAATGGCCATAAGATGGAGCCAGAAACCTGGGTTGTTTAGTCTGAGTCTCAGAAGAGAGCGTGAGTGTATCTCTGTTTCCTTCTGTTGGAAAGTGTTGCCGTTCCTCCATTTTTCCTAATTGACTGCTATTTCTGGATTTAATGTAAGTCTGATACTGAACTGTTTTTTCACACTGGACTTTGATATTTGGATTATCCCTGGATTGAAAAACTGACTGATTTACCTGTGAATGACTTTTGGACTGCTTATCTTGAACTTTGCTTAAACTGTCTGGAAGTAAAAACCTACATTTACTGTACAGTGTATCTGTGTGCTGTATGTGTATTATTCAAACACTACTCTCAAATACGTCTCCCTGTATGCGCTCATTCTCCTAATGGGGAATTATCTCAACAATGACCTTCCAATAATTAATAAGAAATATGGAAAAGGTAAATGAACAAAAACCATAAACTATAATGTGCCTTTTCTTCTGCTGTTTTATAAGTCAAAATACAATATGTTGACCCAGAGATATGTGATCTTTTTTGCCCTCCCCTTGCACTATACAGTGGTGGGATTCATATTTTTTTACTACCAGTTCTGTGGGCATGGCTTGGTGGGCATGGCAGGGAAAGGATACTGTAAAATCTCCAGTCAGAGGTGGTATTTGCCGGTTCTCCGAACTACTCAAAATTTCCACTACCGGTTTTCCAGAACTGGTCAGAACCTGCTGAATACCACCTCTGATCTTGCAGCTGTTTGATGGTTGAAGGCTGTTGATAGGACTTTGTGATAGATTTTGGGGGAGAAGCAAACAAAAAGATCCAACGACTTGGAAAAACAGGCCAGAAAATTTTTGGTAGCCATCAGAATTGTTCACCCTTACTTCCCCACACCATACCAATTCACAGAATGTCAGAAATTTCTGCATTATTGACTACAGATGAGGTGCATCTGTGCTGTGCAACGTAGGATGTCCATTCTGGCTCAGATATTAAAAATTATTAAAAATAATTGGATTCCTTTTTTTCTTGTACAAACTTATATATTAATTGAAATAATTAGATATTATATTTTGGGGAAACATCCAGCAAGGCTTGATGGAGCTATTAAGAGAGGGCTAAGCTTAGAGGCCTTGAATTGCAGGAAGCTGCACAGGAATGATCTTCCTTAGAATCTCTGAAGCCTCCTCTGATTATTCCAAAGGTGACAAGCCTTGCCATCTACCAATTTCTCCAATCTTGCCAACATCATAAACTGTCAATAAAGTAACATTGCAAAGGGGAAAAATTACAGTACACAAGTAAAACAATAAAAAGTAAAAGTAAAACATAAAAGGAAGAAAATGCGATTACAAAAATACACCAAAACAATGTTATTATTGGCTTGATTGAAACAACCACATTAATCATGTCAGTTAAGGGCTGTCAGTATACTCTACCTGATTCCTTCCAGATATGTTAGGACTATAAGTCCCCAAATCCACGGCTAGTTTGGAATTCTTGTGTTGAACTTTCAAGATATTTGAAATGAAAACTTGAAATTTTATTACACAAATATTATAGTTTCCTACAATCTAATCCTCTACAAAAAGTGATAGTGTTTGAACATTTCAGTTGGAAAAGGAAGGGAAGACATAGCAAAAATATTGAAAATCAGTCATGGTATGGAAAATGTAGGGGAAAATGTTACTGTAGAATTGTATTTGTTAAACCTAAATATGGGAGATTGAGGATGAAATAAAGTACCTATATTACTTTAAGTATTCTTACTTATTAAATGCAAACTGCCCAGAATCATCTAGAGTAGGCAGTGTTTAAACTGAATGATGGATGGATGGATGGAAGGATACACACACATATATATAGGCATACATACAATCTATATTCCTTTGTGCTATTATTTTAATCTACTAAAAATACTCTTAATAAGCAAACAAAACAAAATGTTGCTCACCAGCCATGTGTATGGTAAAAATATCTCCATGTTTTTTATTCAAAGTTAATAAAAAATTTGTAGCATTTTTTCTAAAGTCCAGGGCCACTCCCAAGAAAGGAATCCAACCATTTATTAAGGGAGGTTCTCCAGTGTGCCTGAAAAATAAAAAGGAAGCACTGTTACTTGATACATTGCTTAATATGATCAAAGTATATTATATTTGAAAATGTAAAAGCTTGGCAGTTACACCCTGAGATTTTTTTTTTAATTCCTTAGGTGCCAAAGTGTCTACATCCATATATTTTGCCACTTATTTTGACTATATTGTAAAATCAATACAAATTGGTTTAAATGTTCAGTTAGGGAACTGATTCATCGTAAAATGTATCTATAATAGGACACTACCCAAGCATCCAAAGTAAAGCAGTCAAATAGTCAGATTTAGTATTTTTAAAGTCTAAAACATCATCCCAATTCAAATCATAAATAAATAATAATAAAAAACCTAACTAAAAAAAAACACAAATATGGGCATCTGCATCTATATGAATTATATATTCTTAAAGACAATTACATTTCAAACCTCTGTATTTAATATTTCTGTCCAAAGGTAACCTTATATACATGAAAGTAATTTAGGAAGGACATAGAGAATATAACTGAACTAATTCTTCTCCAGAAGGTTTTTCAATTGCATTAAGTTTTCAATTGCACATTATTCTGCAATACCATTGATTCAATGAAATATGCATTCTAATATTTCAATCATTTATAACAAATATACCATAGTAGCTAACAACAAGATATCAATCAATTTCATAAGCTAAAATGGACTTTATTTTCATGGTCAGTTTTCAAGGACTTGCTGAAATAAATACTTTTGTGCATGCCATAATCCAATCCAATCCAATTGACTGATTAACTGAAATACACATAGATTTACCATCTACACTAGAAATTCTAGCTGCCTTGTATTTGAAATCCATTAACTCTATAAGAGTAAATCAAAGCACAAAATATCATTCAAAGCAATCCATCTATGAAGATTCTTAATCAACCAGATCATAATTGTCCCAAAGGTGCTTTTTCAAGAGACAACTGGACTTTCTGTTTTTTGATGTTTCACTTCTCATCCAAGAAGCTTCTTCAGAGCTGAAGAAGCTTCTTGGATGAGAAGTGAAAACGTCTTCAAAGAAAAAACACAAAACCAGTTGCCTCTTGAAAATGCACCTTTGGAACATGCAGAACAATCATTATTCCCTGAGCAGTTTTCTCTGATTAAGTAACAATTTCCATACCCAAAACTTTATTTTATCAAGATTTATCAAGTTCAAATTCTAAATCATCTTTCCAGAATTCTTCAAGAGAATGCTTAGGCATCCATTCCTAATCATGCTGATGAAATGGTGAAATGCTTGTGACATGCCAAGGCTAGTTCCACAGGTTCATATTTGAGTTACAACATCCCATTCAAGTACCTATATGTACAAAAGCGAAAGACCACTCATGCAGCATCACAAAATCTCCAGAACCATAAAGCCTACAAACTTGAAATTTGGCACATATGTTCTTCTTGGTTTCTAGATGCTTGTTAAGAAAGGATTTTTCGAAATGACCATCCGATCATTAGTATTTCTTAATTCAGTAATTAACACACTCTGATGCTAAGGAGTTCTAATCCCCCTCCCCACCTGAAAAGAAATCTGTTCCAACTGCCAGTTGCCTCACATTCCGTTACCTCACCTTCCGTTACCTTAGTAACTCCACAGGCATTTGCACCACTCAGGTAACTCGAGAATACAGACAAACCTCCATGTTGCCTCAATGACTCTCTAAAAGGATGCAAACTACACTTCCAAACAGGAAGCTATTTTGGCATCAAAGGTTGCAGTATTTTTAGTATCCAGTCAGAGCTGAAAAAGCTCCTTGGATGAGAAGCAAAACATCTTCAAAGAAAAACCAGAAAGTCCAGTTGCCTCCTGAAAAAATACACCTTTGGGACAGCAGTTGAAGGATTGCATTTTACAACACTTTTGCTGAATGGATAGATAGATGATAGATAGATAGATAGATAGATAGATAGATAGATAGATAGATAGAT